TGATTGGAATGCTCTAGCTAGTGAAAAAGTAGTCAGAAAATGGAGAAAGTAGTTTACTAGGAGGTGTTGGTTTGGCCTGCTTAACAGTGTTTTTCGAAGCTCTTTCACCAAAGAAAATAAAAAAAAATTTAGTTTAAGTATCTTATACTTGAGACAAAGCTACCAATTTAAACTATCTCTACCATCTTGCCGTACAGAATTATTCGGACTTAAAGAAAAGGCTTAAAATGGAGAAGTTTAATAACTTTTGAAATAACTAAAAATATTTTTAAAGTTTTTAAACTTTTTAAAAACCATCGATTTGGCGAGATATTTCCATCTAGATGGGAAAAAAATCAGAACTAATGAATAATTCCCATTTCTTTCGTAAGTTTTTAAGAGCACAGATAATGCAGCATTGGAGTAACTTTTAAAAAAAAATAGATCGATCACAAAAGCTCTTCATTTTCAGAAACTGCTGCTTTTTTTTTCATATTGACGTTTTGCACCATTTACAGAATGAGCAGAAGACGCTGGCTAAAGATTGGCTAAACTTCTCTTAACACTCGTGAATAGCTGTTGCAACTATCGTGGATAGCATTTATGAAATTAGCATATTATTCATTTAAAAAAAAGTTCCTCTCGTAGGACAACCAAGCCTTCGTAAATTATCCTTAAATTAAACCGATTGAGAGGAATTCTGATTTGAACAAATTCGCATAAATGGTAAACATACATCTTACACAGCATTGATACTCAAAATGTAGAGTCTTTGCAATTTTAAATTGAGTTTTCTTGCAGCAATCTATACCGTACTTCTATCCGATTTAAGATAGTGTTTTATTTCAAATATCACTCATAAGTTTTTCTTGATAGCATTAGCTTACGGTATGAACCACTGAACGTATTGAATAACCAGCATATTTCATTCTTTAATGTGGTCATGCAACTTTTTTTGAAAAGAAGAAAAAAAATTTAACCTTAGTGAACTTGTTGACATTTCCAAAACTCCCCTCACAAATTATTGCATTGATATAAATTTAAAAAGGTTAAAATTATGAATGCCTTGTAGCAGTTGAAAAATGATATATTTTAAAACATATCAGTAGGTAAAATCAGGGCTAAAGAGAAGAGCTGGTTCATTCCTTACTCAAAGCTGAAACTACGATTCCCCACCTCATGACGTCACGCCGTACACAGACCTTGAAAATAACAACTAAGGGAAATGAAACTTTACTATTAATACTTTCTGTAAGAAATTATATGAATGTTCGTCACTTTTCTGATAATAGCTACCAAACTTTACACTGCCAACAAATTATTTCTGTTCAGAAAATATAGTATTCCTTTTTCTTATAGTATAAAAAATAACATTTTAAAGTTCGAAAATTTTCTCAATGGTTGTCGTTTTTTCATTATCATTTTCTAAGTTTAGTTTTAATGCTTTTTATTCCCATCAGAAAAAATATTTTCTGAAGTAAAACATGGAAAATTACGTTTTCTTATTTTGTGTTTTATAATAATTCTTAGGGGTGATATTTGACTGTTAAATTTTTTCAATCAGATGAGAAGAAAATTACCTCAAAATAAAAATTATGGAAAACAATGAATACAGTAAAATAAGTTTCAAAAAAGAGAATGCTAGTTACATGCGAAAAAAATTTATTTTTAAAGCGAGATGTTGATGTTGCGCCGCCGTGACGTCAATGACTGATATCAGAAACTCGGAGCGGCACGTGTCTCTTCAAAGGAGTAACCTAGCCCTTCTGTTCATTCTTTAGTCCTGAGGTAAAATACTAATTCTAATGCACATGTTTTGAAATTATTAATGTTTTGTCTTTTTACAAGAGTTGTCTAGTTAGAGCACCAACTACATACGGTTATCTACGCCCATGTTCATAAATTAAGGCTAATGCGGAAAATAAAGTTTCAGGAACGAAACAAACGTGACTTACTCATGAAATACATTAATTAAACTAAAGAAATGGTGTATGCATAATGCCATTCATTAAAACTACGATTTTTAAATCCCTGGAGCAATTATAAAAAACATCTCTTTTACAAAAGTTTAATATTGTAGTGTTGCTATGTTGGTATTACTGTATGCCCTCCATGCGATGAAAGTTCGTATAACGCATGTTTAGTATCAAACTATAGAAATAATCATGATTACTTCACTCATGATCTCCGAAACTCCGGTACAAATGTAGGAGACATTTTATATCAAAGAGATATTCATAAACAAAGCATGTCCCCCACATGCTCTATCGGATTCAAGTCAGATGAGAATGTCGGCTATTCCATACGGGTGCTATCCTCAGATTGAAAGCATTCTCTTACGATGTTTTCTCGGTGAGGACAGGCGTTATCATTCATAAACATAAATTCTGCCCATGGAACCCCTAGACAAACGTAAATGTTGTTCCAGCATAATATCCCGATAAATTGGGCCTATCATGATTCCAATTTGAACGTGCAGATCTGCTCTAGAGCCCATTATAATTCCACGCTAAACGAACAATCCTGCACCATCGTTACGATGTCGTTCAATGATGTTGTCTTGGTACTAACGGGTACCAGGCTTTCTCCATGTAAAAGTTCAACTTGAATCAGACTGTACGTTAAACCTGGAATCGTCGGAAAAGAACTCACAAACCCACTGTGACGTTGACGATGTCCACGCTTAGTGTTTCTCCTTTCCAGGCTAATCACTGGCAACAGTGAGTGGCCTGGGATTGACTGGCCTAATACCTTTGGGAAGCATTGGTCTATAGACCAATGCTTCCCAAAAGTATATTGTACAATTTGCCTTGAACCTGTGATACCCGTGAATGCAGATAGTTGACAAGACACGCTGTACTCTGCCTGTTTTTTTTTTTGGAATTTCCTGCCAAATACCGGTCTTCAGTCACCGTTGTAACTCGGGGGTGACCTGCACTGCAACGCGTTTATCGTCTTGGAATCCTTGCCGAAGTTTAGAGATAATACTTTAGGCAATTCAAAGTTCCTTAAGTACTTCCATCTGAGTACACCCACATTCCAGGTAGCCGATAATTCTACCACAAAAATTTTTTTCAATGCATCCTCTGTGTCTTAACTAGTTGATAACGGCACTCAGCGGTTAAAAGAAAGCTTGTGAATAATAATACTTCTTCCCCACCATTCCTTATGTGCGTTACCGTGAATGACCGAAATCAAGAGAATGTCGACTTTCACCGGTGAATGTCAACAACAACACAGTCGCTTTGGCGAATGTCCGAAATATTTGTTATATCCGATTTGATATTAATTTATTCGTTGATGTCATTATATTTATATGATATTTTAATATCTGCTGAGGATAGATTAGGAGAAACATCAGTGTTCGGAGTATCGGTTATATGCATACTGGGCAGTGGCACTAAACTTTAAAAAAACATTGATGTACATTCACCGGTGGAAGTCAGCAACCACCGATTTCGGTTATTCACAGTAACATATACACTCTAATCATTTTGATGACGAACTATCAGCGTCATCTGGTGGTTTCTTGTAACTTCCATATTATTCTTGATGTGTGTGATAATTTTACAGGTAAAATTTTTACTTTAAATTTCACTTTCCATGTCTTTGTCCTTAAATCACGGACATGAGTGTAATTAAAGCATTTCAAAGCTAATGCTATATAATTTAATCACGAAAAATATCGATTGAACATCAAAAAATAAGTTTTGTAGTGTACTATATCCACAGTGCAGATTGTTTAGTAAAGACCTCTCTTAGTTTTTTATTTTATTTTATTTTTATAACCGTCGTTGAACAGCCGACTCAATTTCATGGGTTTACGACTACTTACGTTCAACTCCGTAGNATAATATAGCATTATATGCTATATAATGCTATATATTAATATAATGCTATAACACGAAAAATATCGATTGAACCTCAAAAAATAAGTTATGTAGAGTACTATATCCACAGTGCAGATTGTTTAGTAAAGACCTCTCTTAGTTTATATTTCTTATATCCTTGTCAAAACTGAGTTCAAGACATCACTCTTTTCTATTTGCAAGACAGAAATCGGAAACAATTTAACCACGCACGTCCCCCTTATTTCTGTGATGCCGATTTATATAGTACATCGTCGGTGATTTTGTGCTAGACACGTGCTTAACGTGCTAGGAGCATCTTTCCTGCACGGCAGTGGGAGCTACAGATTATTTTTTCATTTAAGTTTACCTTTTAGTTTTAAATAGCAAGCGAACAAAAGGGGTAAATTCCTGAGACTCAGTTGTTAAGCATCCCTGCATTTGTTCTGAATGAAAATTAAAAAGCTGAATTAAGAAAAAAAAATTCTGTTACTTGACTACTATTTAAATTGTATAGAAATTCATTCTACCTTTTTCAGTATCATTGTACAAATTTCAACTTAAATTTAAACAACTTCAAGCTCAAGGGCCTTGTTAGGACTGAACCTTTCGGTAACTTTGTAAACAAGAGAGCTAATTTATAATGATCCAAAAAAACATTATTAAAGCATCTTTAAAATTTTAAGCAGAATTTAGCCCTTTTAAAGATGTACAATGTACAGCTTTTTATTTCATAAAAAACACTCATTCCATTTTCAAAATGTCTGATCTCTTTCTATTCTATAACTTGTCCTCGCTCTTCCTCCATGTAGGCATGGTTTCTCGATCCTTCCTTTCTTTCTGTCCCTGACCACTGGTATTGTTCACTCTTTAATTTTATCAGTAAACGACGAAGTCTTCAAATTCCTTACAGACCTTAAATTTGAAAATATTGCTAAATGTGCATTAGATTAAGCTGAAGACATACAGTATTTGTCTCGCTGCATCGCAAACAAATTTGAATTTATGAAGATTGTGCTGTCGTAAACTGTATAAATTTTGTGCCCCACACTATTTGTACTTATAAGTTACCTGACGAGTATTCTAAATATACATATAAAGGAAGGTTGTAACAGAACACCCAGCATCGTGGCGCAAATGTTGTTTGTGTGGAAAAGAATACAAGACACGGTATAAACTACAAAATAAATTTTATAACTCCGAATGAGCACCAGACATGAGGTTGACAACCCTTTGGTCCTTTAGACTACAACATCCATAGAGCTCTACAAAATATAATATTCTATCTACAATTGCAAGCAAGCTCATCGCCTCGAACCGCCACTCGTGATTTGAATATGCACACAAAATAGTGATCGCGTTTAATAATTTGCATTCTGCTTTTTAATGGCACCATCTTACCAAACATGATTTTTAAAGCGTTTTTATAAACTTAAACAACACGAAGCAATAAGTTATTGTCGTGATTTCCCTTGTTAGATTTCTCCAACATTTAACTTTCAAAATAACTATTAGTTTTTCACCCACTATCAAATTCAGTTAAAAATCCAATTGAATTATTACAAGTGCGAGAAGAATTCAATTGAATAGTGTTCAGAATGCAAATTATTTACAGTAAATGCAGGCGATATATTTTTTAAAATCCACAAATATCCTATAGTATCGTTATAATTTTTTTTTTAAAAATATGAAAAAACATGAATAAACTCTTTTGCTTGATTGTCGAACTTAGAAGAAAAAACACTTTCAAGAGGTTATCGACATCGATAATGAGATAAAAGCACAAAACTAAGAAAATATATATGTATATATAGGCATCTCCATTTCTTTTAAAGCACTCTATAAGTCAAAACTACATTAGGGAAGTAAATCAAGCAAATATTGTAATATGTTGGCGATTCGAGAGCTCACAGAAGAAACGATGGCTGCCTGCCTATTGGCTGTAAAACATCAATGGCGCGACTACTTTGGTCGATGGATAAGGATTGGGAAGAGGGTGTTTTTAGGGTGGCTCTTCGGATTGCCAGGTGGGTGATTGGGCATCATACGTAGAAAAATAAGTAGTGGGAATAAAAATGATTTCATTTTGTCTCAAAGACTGGCGACCTTCCACTCGATGCGTTCGAACCAGGTGTGTACTTATCCTAGAGTTGATAAAATCTGTATACGAGGGTACTTTCGCAAATAAAACCAGACGGTACTGCACTGATCTCTTTATGATAGGACTCTATCTGAACGGGCTTTCAATGTATGACTACACTCCTTTGAAAATGGCCTCATTGATCGAATTATGCTTATTACTGCATTACCATTAGCAGATTGACGCCAAAGTCATGACAAGTAACTCTCATCTGGCCAATGGTAAGTAAGAAAAATACTACCGAATCAGCAAGGAATCGCAGATGGTTGGCGATAAACAGAAAAACCTTACTTCCACTATCAGTTCTAGCTGAACAGAGTATTGTTTTCTTTTATGGTCTTTGTCATCAGTTATTCAGAAGAGCCTGTAATGCTAGGGTTAGGGGTGATCCCTCTTCTTTGCCAAAACGGGCTTTGATGCATTGAATCTGCAATCCATGCTTGAGATCAGTGTGGTACAGCGACGCGGCTCCGGGGAAATAGTAAAAATGGTTGATATGAAAGGAGATTGAATTAATATAGGAAAGATTATAAAAGGCAGACAATAATTCTGCAGGGTGTCTATGTAGAAATATTTTGTCGATATAGGTAGGACATTCTTTTTAAAAGCGTTTCAAAATATTTTCTTTAAAGTTTGGGGTTTAAAAACTAACGGAATTCTAATCGAAACTGAAACTTATTCTATCACGACTACCAAACAGAGGATACAGTTTTGTCGGGTACATTACGAAAAGTGAGCAACAACTCTGTAAAACTGACGTATTTAACTCGGAAATAGGGTACAGCATTAAAAATCCGCAATACTATAATTTTTTTAGTATAAAACTACCTAAAAACCTGGAATAAAAACGGTTACTTTTCATTAAAAAAGAGTAAAAATATTTTGATTTTTTCACGAAATCTCGTGATATCTAGAATTGCGTTGACGCTTTAAATAGTTTAAACAATCCTCTCTCTTGTTTGACGCAAGGAGGCAAACTCGAAAACATCTAGTGAAAGGTCACCCTGTGAAAAAAGTTGAGGGGCGTCGCCATCGAGTCTAAACTCTGATTGGAAGACAATTCTTGTCGTGTCGACTCTGGACAAGGAGGGGTCGACAACGCTTAGAGCGACTTTTTTTGCCACCCTTTTTGCGTTTTCAGATAAAAACATGCCGGCAAATATATCTATATCCATATCTTTACTTTTTTTTTCTCGTCTGGAAACGTGGAAAGGGAAGAAGTTAGCAGTCGACTCAAATTTTATATATTCATTTTTTTTTCAAAATTCGCTTTATCAGTTGTACTTGGAGGTTTTTCTCTCACTTTTCTTTATCCACCGATCACATGTCTCTCTATCACACATTCCTTTTTTTGAAATATTCCAATTCATAGCAAAACTAAATTTCATATTAACAAACAGGTTAAAAATAAAATAATTCACAAAGATCATAAAAACTTCAGTATATTTTTTCTCTCTCTCTCACTTTCAATCAGTGCTCCATTAATAATGAAGCTGATCCCTCAACCACGTTCTTACATCGAATAAACAAATTCGCGGAGATGCGCTTGTAGCCTTTCCAGTATCGAAGCGGAACTTTTGATTTCAAAAACAAAGAGATCGAATCGAGAAATTTTTAATGATCACAGAAATATAAAATTTAAGCAGATAAACACTAAACAGTTTAAGTGAAAGTTGATAGTTTTTTTTCCTGCAGATTTTCTAAAGACGCAGTACTGGAGTTCAAAAGTTTCGAGCACCATTACGCTCTTGATACTTTAAATATCGCTCAGAAATAATAACTTAAAGGCTTCGTTTTTTAACACTAAAATTCGTGGATGGAAAAACACTATGAAACGATAGAGGCGAGATAAAAAATTTCAATTCAAACCAAACTTATTTCTCATCAAAAATCTTTTTTCTTACATATAGTTTAAAAATTAAAACACCATGAATAAAATTAATTTTGGGATTTCTACTTAAAAATTCCTTAAGAAAATTTTGATCTTTTTTTAAGAATTCACTGTTAGAAATTTTGGAGCGCATGGAACCATAATATCATTCAAATTTTCTGCAACCTTAATACGAAATTAAGCTGAATCATATTATCGTATTTCTTCGAATAGTCGATACTATGATTACACTTGAACGGAAACATGGTTCTAGTTACCCTCTTATTGAGGTTGCAGCGAATTTGCACTGTATTATGGGTTAATTTACAAATATTATGGTTCATCGACTTTTTCATGATATTATGATTTTGTATTTGAACCGGTTTTTCCGAGAATGTACGCTTAGTAAGTAAATAGCGTAAATTTTACCCGTTTTGAGAGTAAAAAGTTCGAAACCAATAAAATGACATACAAGAAGAAAAAAACTTCCGAGACAATTTTTAAAAAATAATAAATGGTACTTATCGAAGTTTTTACACTTGATTTCTCAATACCGTGATTAAACTTCAGTCCACGGAAATAGGGTTCAAGTTAAAGCATTATTAAGGTTGCAGTAAATTCGCACTGTGTCATAGTTTAACTTATTGATAGTATGGTTCAACGTTGAACAGATTTTCCAGAAGGTGTACTTTCAGGAAGTAAATCGTGTAAATTTCCCCCGTTTTGCGACTGAGGAGTTCGAAACCCAATAAAAATCACATACAAGAGAAATTAACTGTTCCAAAAAAAGAATAACAGGATTTTAAGAATGATGAACGTGGCTGTGAAATTCAGCAGTAGACAAAACATCTTTGCAACACTAAACGTCCGGCGACGCCTATCTAGAACTATACGTAACGACTGTGCGGACTGACACGCTCCGTTTCTGGATTTCTTTGGGATATTCTTGCTGACCGGCGTTTCCAGGGAGAGGATTGGTCGTCGAGCTGGAGAAAACCAAAAAAATGTTATGTCCTTGTTGAAAGGGCTGCTCGAGAAAAAGGAGGAAGCGCCGGCTGTGAGGATGGGTCTACGGCTGATTCTATTTGACTAGAAAAACACACACACAGCGGACTAGATTCTACTATTAGGCGAATCCCCAGGCTTCGAGGGTTTTGATTATGAAGTCACTCGAGGACGCCAGAGTATCGTTGTCGTAAGTCTGGCACCGGACACTTCTTCCTCGATAGAGATCGCCATCGATCCACAAACCAAAGTGACCTCTGAAAATTAAAACACATTGAATATTCAGTATGACAGTTTGAAACCTTCCTCACTTACAATGTAAAAATAAATAAAAAAATCGGTAAATCTTTAACCAGTATTTGGTTCAAAAGGACTCATTATCCCAAAGTGAAAGATCATTTTATTTTAGTAACACCATTCATTGTGAAGCATGATCGAGAAATACTTCCAAACTGCAACTGACTGCATTTGGTAAAAGACAGAAAACTTTGACAGTGACTGTAAGCAGAACGATATTTGTTTACGATGCCATGTTTTCTTTACAACTCTGTATGGGAACGACTCATGCGCGTGATTTCAAGTATAAACTTATTTAGGTAAATAAATGTTTTATTTGCATTCATTAAAGTTCATTTCTTTTATGTTGCCTTTTTAAATTTGGTTTGTCGGTATAAAATGGTTAGATATATGACCTACTTCCTATAAAATGACCTACTTCCGGTAAATAGTTTTATTAGGGTACATGGCAACCTTTGCCTAAATTTGAGCTCTATAAAAATACCTAATAATGGTGTAACTTCCCTCTTCTTTTATAAAAGAAAAAGAAGAAAGAATGAAAGTATGTTTCTTCGAAACACTTACTTTCGGTACAACCTTCTACCGATATGTGGAGCTAGTGAAAATACTAAAATATGGTAAAATTGATCTCCATTTTATGCAGTCAGCAAATGAATACCAATTTTTGGAACAACGTGGCTTGGAATTTTTAGCAGTGCATAGTAAGCAGAAACATATCACTCTTAACTTTTGAGCTGTTGGTCATATTTTCATTCTGTGAAATGGTTTGGTAATATCTCGAAGATATTTCTTAAAATTTGTGGAGCAGTTAACTGTAACCATGCTTGTCGTGATCAAAAAAACACTTTTTCTGATGAAACAGACATTTTTTTCATCAAATTTGGATTTATCAATCAGAAAATAGGAGGGGAATCGACAAAATTTTGAAAAGCTGGCTTTTATATTTCGGCATCCACGACTGTTCAAAAATATGTTACTTTAATAGTGTTTCACGTTGGACTTCAAATCTTTTGAATGATAGGTTAAACTGAAATATTCTTTCGCAAAAAGTTACAAGCTCTTGGTGCAAAGACAAATATATAATTCTTAGATGAATTAAATGATTTTTATTGATTAATTTGTTAATGAAGATAAAAGTTCTTGAATTCTAAGGTATACAAAGTTTAAGATATTTAAAAATTTCGCATTTTTTTCAACTTAAATTTTGATTTTCATGCCAATTGATCAATAAAAAGAGTCCTTAAAAACTAATTTTTAATTTTAAGCTTTTAGGGAAATTTCTTCGAGTGATAACTAAGTTTTTGTTTTAATATATATTTCTTTGTTTTGTAAATTTGATCTTAAAATATTTTCCTCGGGTGTAGCTTTTTCCCCAAAGTGAATACGATAAAAAAATTTAAAAGGTTTATTCCGAAAAAGTGTGTTTTCTCATTCGTGGCTACAGTTAAATGCAAAATTTAAGATGATTCTTTGAGATATTGCCAGAACACTTCACCGAATTAAAAAAAATCCGCCCAATCATTCAAAAGTTATACGGGGAATCCATTTTTTATGACTATACAAGGCTACAATAAAACAGAAACTTTAAATAAGTTAATAATAAAGTGATCACATATTTATAATATCAAGCTAATTGGATACCAGAGACTGTTTTGTGAAATCGGTATCGAATCTGTTGCATCCCTAGAAACAGAAACTTTTGTAAATATTATTTTTTTATTCCCCACTAATTGTAATACATCCTTGTTTCATAGAATGCCATTTACTCCGAAGTTGGGTGTGAAATCAATGAATAAAAAGAGAAACTAACAAAATCCAAAGCATTCCTTAAGAGCTCTTAGGAAGTTTCTTTTATAAGCTCCAAAGTATATTGTGCTTTCGCTGCGAGCTCCAGAATATATGTTTAAAGTATCAAATTCAGCTACAGTGACCGATATTTGCCAGGTTACATACAGAGAGCTGTTCCAGTGCTGTTGTGTTACGATGTCTTAGATTAAATATTTAAATATTTAACAATACTACATCATTGTAGTATAGTTACCTAAACATATTATGTAGTTATTAATGTACAGTGAGCAGAATAAAAAAGGACATTCCTGAATAATTTTTGATCCAATGATCGGATTTTCACGTTCTTAGACTCAATCTTAATGGTTTGAAGAGGTGACTTTAAATATGCTGATTAATTAGCGCCGACGATATTTTAAATTAGGAAATCAGACACGCAAACGTACTTTCTCTAAATAAACATGCCATTTTTTTCGACAAATTTGAATTTCTGATCTCCGAAATATAGGGGGTCACAGCTACCTGGGAAATATGATCCCCATCGTTTGGTCAAGAGAACGGTCCCAAACTTTGGTCTACTTAATGTTAATTTTATTTTTTTTTCGTATTTCGCCATGTTTCCGAAACTTTATAAGTGAATTGAAAAGTTTTTGCACACTCATAAAATTCGTTTATCCAAACATAATTCAATGCAAAAAAAAAAAATAAAAAAAAAATAGATTTTAATAAATATTTATTGTTTTTTACTATTTTATTTAAAAACAGTCGAAAAACTTTTATTGTTACGTACACAATTTTTTACATCATTTTAAAGAATGCAATTTAGTTTTGCAAAATGTGAGCAAAATGGGTCGAATAGTCTCTGAAAATCAAAGTTTGAAGAAGCCTAAGTTCTAAATTTGATTTCTCAAGAACTATTCGACCAATTTCGCTCTTGTCAAGTAAATTTATATTCTTCAAAATGATGTAAAAAAGTTGTATACCTTACGGTTAAATTTTTTTCGGCCATTATTGAATAAAACAGTAAAAAATATTTACTAAAAGCTATATTTTGGCTATAGCTATATTTATAGCTAAAAGCTATATTTTGGATAAATGAATTTTATAACTCTGTGCAAATATTTTTCAATTCACTTAAAATGTTCTCGAGATATGGCGAAATACGAAACTAATCATATTAACGATAAGGGGTACAAAGGGACTGCTCTCTTGACCAAACTATGGGGATCATATTTCCCAGATTGCTATGACCCCCTATATTTCGGAGATTAGAAATTCAAATCTGTCGGGAAAAAATGGTGTGTTTATTTAGGGAAAATACGTTTGTGTGTCTGATTTCCTAATTTAAAATATCGTCGACACTAATTAATCAGCATATTTAAAGCCACCTCCTCAAACCATTAAGATTGAGTCTAAGAACGTGAAAATCCGATCATTAGATCAAAAGTTATTCAGGAATGTCAGTTTTTTATTCTGCACACTGTACATCAATAACTGTATTAATAACTACATAATATAACTAATTGGTTGCAATTTGATTGATTACTATATTAAAATATGCAATCATCTCTAATTCGGTATTACCTCTTATTCACAACCTTGTAGAACTAATAAATTTCGTAAACATTTTATTCTATTTACGTATGAATTACAACTTTATAAAAGTTCTTATTTGAATAGTCAGTCAAATAAATATAGAAAACAATGGTCTATTTCATGTTCTTTTAAGCTTTTTCTATCTTATTTTCACATACTGAGTTTCAATTTTAATGACTGAAATATCTAAAATATAATCCCCGCTATGACTTTTTAAAGAATAAAACTAATATTAACATAAAGTTCCTAAAAAAATTAGGATGAATTTTGTTTTTAACGATAACTAAAACAAAGCGTAATTTTTAGCTAATTCGCTTGCTTGGAATTTCCAATATGTAATCCTAGAAATTTAGAACTGCTTACAGGCTCGAGTATTTGAAAATTACTGAGATAGTTATCAGTTTGACGCCCGGTGGCTGAGCGGCAGCGCTTCGCACTGTCGTGCCACAGGTCCCTGGTTCGATCCTCGGGCCGGGCAAGGTTGACTCAGACTTTCATCCCTTCAGTGAGTCGATAAATGAGCACCAAGCATGCTTGGGAAGTAAACACTGGGGGTTCCGCATTTGGCTGACCACCTGACCGGAACATCTGCTCCTGCACCCCAGAGCCCAAGGTCAAGAAAACTGAGAAGGGCACAGTAGGCCTTGGCCCTCTATGGGCTGTCGCTCCACTGAGTTTAGTTTAGTTTAGTTATCAGTTTTAAAAGAAATGAAATGAAATTTAACGGTAAATTGAAATCATATTGCTTCAACTTAAGGTTTCCTAGTTGAACTATATTATTGTGCATTTTTATATTTCTTAATCCTTATTTCACGAAACTAATTCAATAGCTTTGACGAAAACAAGGTTCATTTCAGCACTTTAAATGTAAATGATTGCCAGCAAGGTACGATGGTTCAAGATACTGATATTATGGTTCATGATATCTACATTATATTTCAACGTTGGACTGATTTTTCTAAGAATGAGGAATCAGTCATAAGATTAAAAATAATAATTTCACAAAATGAGAGGATAATAATGATTGACAGAACTTAAAAATTGGCGTCTTTAAAAAATTATGGATTTATATAAAATCAAAAAGAGCAAACTTACTCTGAAGCTCCAACAGAAATGCTATCCATGTTTCCTTTCACAAAATAATCATTTTCTCCCGTCCACCGAAAAATCTGTGGGATTGATAAGACAGCTCAACAACAATTACAAAATTATGAAATATTGTATTTTATTTAAAATGATATATTTTTTATTTGTTTTTTACTTTAGTATTGATAAACTCGTAGTAAATGTATATTAAAAGAGAAATTGTAATTTATGAGAAATTTTTTTAGTAATCTGAAGTGAAAAACAGCAAAACCTCTCCACAGCGACGACTCTCCGTTCCACAGTAAAATAATAGTTGATGGAGGTTGATCGTTCTTGAGGTTACCTCCATTGACATCCAAATTGTTATTAAAGGTACATGATTTTTGTAAACGGTTTCAGTAGATTTTAGAGATTTGTAAACGATTAGTCAGTGTCATTTTCTTGGAGCGCGAATGCTACTCATTCAAGTATCCTTTTATTTTGTAGACGCAAAAATATGCACGTGAATTACTATTTTATATATGAGCTAAATATGAATTTCGCATCCACTGGTGAAAACAAATAAAGAGACAAACGGTTTCTTTTGCAATGAAAAAAACGAACAAAGCAAATTATACCAAACTTATCATCCGATAGAAGACTAATACATAGAAAAACCTTTACTCTAAATAAGGAAACTGTTCAATTGTCCAGCACAATAGCTGACTGTCAGTCAAAGAAAAACATATCAAATAGGGTGTATAATCGCCTCTAACAGCTACACAACTCTCGTATCTCCATTTCATACTGTTTACAAAAATCATTATCGTTCTCTTTTGTAACAGCAACTTTTTGCATTAAACAGGTCGAGTTCCTGTCTCTGTTAACTGTTTCCACAACGAAAACCACATATCTCTGTAATCACCGAAGCATCCACAACAGGTAGCCTTTGATTTCTCTTGTAACAAGGCACGCTGGAGCTCATCGATGGTCGTTAGTGCTGGTCTTTGAGCTGCAATTGACCATCCAAGGACACCCGATAAGTGTTCGATGGGATAAGTCTTACAAAGCGTGAAAGCATCTCGTCCCTGCACTAGTGACCTTCTAAAGTACCCCTATCGAACACATGAAGATCGGTATACCTAGACCATCAGACCACCTCAACTATTGTAGTCTTTTTCGACAATGTTAAAGAATGAATAATATCGAATGAATGTTATCGAATGAATGTTAAAGAATGAATAATATTGACTCTAGGGCTCTTTCCAGATAAGAACACGTCTTGAGTCGCTGTTCAGACTGAATCGCGTCTCATCACTGAAAAAAAACCCACCCCTAATCATCCTCTGACCAAGACAAATGATCTCGACTCTATGCTAGACGGTTCTTTTTGTGGTTCACAGTCAAAGGTTTGGGGCTGCAGACCACATTGCGTCTTTGTCTCTGCTGCGTCTTTGACACAGAACATGTTCACCTGTTCCCCTAGACAGCACGTTCTCCTGATCTCTCACCAATTGAAAATGTCTGGTCAATGGTTGCCGAACAACTGGCACGCCAGTCACTATGGTCGATGAATTGTGGTATTATGTTGAAGCTGCATGAAATGCTGTACCCGTCCATGCTATCCAATCCCTGTTCGACTCGATGCCCAGGAGAATAACTGCTGTTATTGCTACCTGCCTAGGGAAGCTGCTCTGAGTACTGATTCCTCAGGATATTCAAATATCCTGAAAATTTAATCAGTTGTTCTTCCAACTATAATGTATGTGCTCAATAAATATTCTGTTATTTGCATTCCTTCCTGATGTAGGAATTTTAATGGCCAGCAGTGTATTTATGACTATCAGTTACTATTCAGCATATTCTACTGTGCGACAAACGTCTTGTTAAAAATTGAAATTACGATAAATAAAATCAAGACGATCCATAAAATATAATAATAAGATAAAATAAATAAATAAGATAGCGGTTCTACAAACCTTAAAAGCTGGGTGGAATGTGAACAGAAAAGATTCCCCAGTTCCATAAAAACTATCACTGGGCCTGAGGGGGTATGACAGCAAAGCTCCGAACACCTACAAAAAAGTTTATATATATGAATTTAAGGAAATTACCCAAATACTTCTTCCGATAATTAAGTTAAAACAAAATATCCATATTCTTATGTATAGCAGAAAACAGCAGAAGAAAATTTTATATGCAAATAAAAGATCACGACGACAAAAAGCAGACAAAGGATTTGTATCTCGATTTTTGTCATTATCTTAAACATTTTTTCGTCATCTTTCAGGAAATTTGAAAATTCCAACTTTCTATGACCTCACTAGGAGTTACTTATTGCCATTTTTTTTATCTCGTACATATATTTCATTAAAGGAATTTCGTTCGTAATGTTTGAAAAAATCTAAGGACACAGTGTCAAATGAATAAACAGATTAGGAGAGCTTTTGACCGAGCTCTAACAACTTTTGTCATGAAACGTGTCAGGGCGTGTATTTTCATGTCAAAATATGACCTCTTCGTTTACAAAATTCTGACTTCATTCAATTCGTTTAATTAGAAATAATAATTTTCCAAATTTCTTATTTTAAATGACTCGTACTTACGCAAATTATTTGGTTTTAATAATTTTGTTATTCAGACCATTTTCACAGGAAATCTACTCGAACTTTCCGATCAAACCAATATTTCAGAAAATGCGTCCAAACTAATACGTACAATTAAACTTTAAGGAAAATTTTCTTAAACTTGCATTCTGTCGAATAGGCCTTTATTAGTTTAGAGCTCTTGTTTTCAATGTCAATAAAAGTATTTTATAAAATCTGGTCTTTTTATGCAATCTGTACTTGGTTTACAACATATATATGTGAAAAAGTATATTCCAAATTGTAACTTAAAAATTGGATATTGTCTATCGACCATTCAAAACAGAAAAGATTTTCGCTTTTAAATAGACATAAGTGGTAAAGTTTTATGAAAGACCTACTATGACAAAAAATTTGCCGAAATGTGGGTATTTGAAAGAATCAAATTATGCAAATATACATAAAAAAGGCACTTAGGGATTATCCCGTCGACCATTTTCGTACTTTGGAATTATTCCATCGTCCATTTTTGTACTTTGGAATTATTCCATCGACCATTTTCGTACTTTGGAATTATTCCATCGACCATTTTCGTACTTTGTTATTATCCCGTCTACCATTTTCGCCAAACCCTATATTATCGCCAAAAGGTAACTTCTGCGCAATTAATCGCAAATTTCATATTCCGCCAATACCGCGGAATTACCCTAAAACACTTGGGATTCGTATTTAAACGAATTTATGTGGCGGCTACTGCTAAAGAATAATGACTTGATTGTTTGCGCTTTAAAAGCTATCAAGGATTTTTGGCCGCCGAAATGATTTATAATAATATAGATTCAAGAATAATTAAATGTGTAATTATAAAAAATAGAGGTTTTTACTGTGTGTTGATTATTTTTATTACACTTACATTTTTTGTTATTACTATATTATTGGATAAATTTAATGTATTCAGAATGTTTATTTTGGTAAATGCCTTTCATTATGATGGCGCCAAAGGATTTGTGTATTTTCACGAGCATTGACAGGTGGTCAACGGGATAATCCCAAAATACCATAAGAAAAATGTACATTTTTTCAAGTGGTTTATTCCAACCTTTATCGAAAAGGCTAGAATTATAAAGCCCATTTCATACTCATTTTATTATCTTTTACACTAAAATTCATAATTCGGAAGGTTGAGTAGTATCATAATGAAGGTACTCACAGCTCCATCTGTATCTTCTATGGCAAGAATGACAGGACTATCGAATTCGGTCATTTTCCTATAAAGGCTCTTCAGGTGAAAACCATCCGATGACGTCGAATAAATTCTAGTCCACGGGTACCCAACCGCCCTTGCAGGTAACAGGGTATACAGCTACAATATAGAGGACTCTTTAGTTTCCTACCTTTATAAGACCACATTAAATCACAAAGAAGGAACATACCTACCTCTTTAATGTGGTCTTCTTGGAAGATCTCTGAAGGCGCTAGGAGGTCAGGAAGAGGAAGTTCTAAATCGCTATAATCCAACTTTTCCATCTCTCCCAACGATAATACCTGCAAAGACATTATTTAACTCACAAGCGACATGCATGACAATCAAATAAAGAGTTAATACACAGTTATGTATAAATATGCAGGGTAATAAATAAAAACGTGAACTAAGTAAAGCGGTTTCTATGGAAATGAAGATGGCTCTCAAAAAATCAAAAACAGAAAATGAGATGATTTGAAATTTAAAACTTCAAAGTGTATAATGGAAACAGAATGAAAAAAACGCTAATAATAATGATGATGATAATTGAAAATAACATCATATCTTTGTGTTTAGAAAATTTAAGTCGTGATGTGTTAACTTAACTTTATTAACAATATCATGCTGATGCTGGTACTATAAATATATTAACAGTCGCACCCAGAATTTGTGAGCACCTGCATATTACTTGATTGAGTACTATAAAACTTTTTCAAAATGAATGGGATACTTGCAAGTGACGTAGTGTGGATATCTCGATACTTATAGGTTGTTGAAACGTGGCATTTGTTCACATTAGCAACTGTTTTTTTCCATTCTATTTCGAGTAAGCCAAGCCCGTCAAGTATCAATTCTCTTAAGTGGCATATTCAAAATTCTTTCACAAAGATTCTTTCTGAAAGATTTCAATTCCTTCACATTATATTTACACAGAGACTTAACACAAGGATGGACACGAAGTCACGTGGAACATAAGCAAACTAATTATGCATCGAAGTTGCCAGGTACACAAAACAAAAATATATCACGGTTACAATAAAATACATCAACAAATAATAAATCTAAGTTAAGTAAAAGAAATTGACGAGAATGAATCATATATCTCATCCGATGTGCGATACGGCTCTGTATTTAACTAATTAACATTCGTTAATTAACATTCTAAGTTATGTAGCTCAACTTTAATGCGCCATTTTGCTGATAAAGATTAGCTAGTGCTGACATCATACTTTATGGGAGGCCCTTTTTCTTCTTGAATTGCAAGTACCCAATTGCGCTAACAACTTTATTTAAGAATTTATTTAGTGTTATTGCAAAGTCTAGACTGAACATTTAGTGACAAATCTAAAGCACTAAGATTTCTCTTCACTTATTAAGTTCGTTGTCTTCATACAACTTTGCTAACCGAAGAGATAGTTTTTGTATGAAGATTCTTGCATTACTTCAGTGACTAAAATATCAATAATATTTTATTCTTAATGGTAAGCGTTTAGTTTTTTATTTATTTTCTTTGTAGGAAGATTCTTGCATTAGTTCAGTGACTAAAATATCAATAATATGTTATTCGTAATGGTAAACGTTTAGTTTTTTATTTATTTTGTTTCTATCCTACAATTCTGAATGCTGTTTAAGTTGTCTATTGAACTAGTCGAAGCGTTTATTACTAAAATAAACATCCATTTCCGGACTAGCAATTTTTATTGATAATAAATATCAAAATGAAGACAATTACTGTTTGTAAGTTTTGGGAGGCAGCATGCTCTCATTAACGCTTTTTTTCGAAGCTCTGTCGCCAAAGAAAATTATAAAAAAAGCCATAGTTTAAGTGCCTTACACTTGAAGCAATGCGATGATTTTAAATTTTACTTATAATCTTGCTGTAAAAAATCATCTGGGCTTTAGAACAAACAACTAACTTAAATATTTTAAAACGTATTAAATTATTTTTAAAAATCGTCAATTTGGTGACCTTTTTCCACCTGAATGAAAATTATCAAAATCCCTGCTATATTCTCAGTTTTTGCTGATTTTTATGAGCTCAGATAATGCAGCATTGGAATAGGTTTTCAAATATTAAACTAGTCCATAAAAGCTTTTAATTTTCACAAAACTGTGGCATTTCTTCATATTGACGTGATGCGCCATTTTCAAAATAAACGTAGACAGCGCCTGCTTTAGATTGGCTAAACTTGACCAAACAGTCATGAGTTAACAGTTGCAAATTCTCAGCAGTTATAAAAAATAGCATATTATTCGCGAAAAAGCATCATTTCATATTACAACGGAGCCTTCGAAAATCAGCCTTAATGTAAGCGTAGTGAGCCATCAGATTTTTGAGCACTTTTTCAACCTTACGAATTTCTTCTGGGTTAAAATTTGAGAAAGATTATCTAAATAAAAAAAAGAAGCGATTGCTAATAGATTGCTGATAGATTTAAAAAAAAACTCGTTGAAATAGCTTAACATTTGTTTAGTAATTAGCACCTAGTGAGTGAGGCCATCTCAGCAAACTGTGAAAAATTTAAAGGGGGAAAAAAACAAGTAGTTTGTACAAAATGCGGGAATAAACAAGGGATACATTTTCATCAGATTAGATTTTTGCAGCAATCTTCGTGATTGGAATAATATATTATTAATAGTTTCAATGAGAAGATATTGACATGGTGTTACCAGGGTATAAGCAACACTTCCTAGAAAAGAACAGGCCTCAGCACGGGTTACCATTATCCTTTAGTAGTCTAAACGTAAGGACATGTTTCGTATTTTCAACCACTGCGCAGCTTAGTACCCCTAACGTAATGACATCTTTCTTATTTTTCGTCTACTGCGCAGTTAACTTCGTCACATCGGACTACTAAATTGATCCGTGCTGAGGCCTTTCTACTTCTAGGAGGTATTGGTATAAGGCCCTCGCCTCCTAATAAGTTGGCCCGGGTCCGAATCTAATCTCTCACCAACAGACGGATCGTGAATCCCTTTGTCTAACCATGGCAGATTTTCGAAGTTTTCCCTTCCATGTAACTCAAATGCGGGTTAAGGCCTGGTTTCTTAGGACATGACGCCGTGAGCTGGAAATCAGAGCTAACCTCTGATTTGTTCATTTGTGAGTTTGATAGTATACGTCATCGAACGCATACTATCAAACTCACAAATGGACAAATCAGAGGCTAGCGCTGCTTTCCAGCTGACGGCGTCCTGTCCTAAGAAACCAGGCCTTTAGTTTCATCAAGAAGTACGTCACGAAGACAAATTTCTCCCAATACTTGATCCAGATATCCCCTTGTCTACTGGATTGGGTTTAAAATTGCAAGGCTACGGAGTGGAATATTGGTAGTCGCAAACTTAAATTTGGGTCGGCAGTTCAACGAAGGCTATAAAACAAAATAAAATTCAGTTGAAAATACTTTTTCTGCTCTTTAGCATTGTTCTTTGGTTAATTTTAAACCAAAGAAATTTGATTATATCGATATTGAACAAGGTTGTTACCTCAAGAAATTGTTACTTCAATAAAACAATCTTTCTCTAGGTCGCAAATGCTGCCTAAAACCGTTAAAATACTTTAAAAATAGGAATTATTTTGGAGAAGCTTAAAACTGATGACAAACATTTAAAACTTTCATAAATATTAATTCAAAGTTTTAAAAAATTCCGAGAAATGCATATGATTACTAAACCAAAAGATAGACCAAACTCAAATTCATATTTTATTTGTGTCTACATATATAAAGTTCATACAAAATTATTTTATAAATGCCCATCTTCTGTTACTTAATGGATGGAATTTAACCATAATAGCAAGATTAGAAAAATCTCAAACTTGAAGAGGTCGTGCCCGGCCTGTTAATCTATGACGTACAGGTCCAAATGAAACTTCATTTTTCCCCAAAAAAATATCAATGACTATACGAATGTACAGTACTGAAAAATAAACGAAACCCCCTTAATGACTTTTAACCGAATAATCGGATTTTCATGTACTGGGGACATTTTAATGATTTAATGAGGTGTCCTCAAATATGCTAATCAATCAGTGCAAACGATATTAGACACGAAAAAGAAACTATAACTGAATAAACACACTTTTATTTATTGACAGGTTTGGGTTTCCAACCCTCTGAATATGAAGGATAGCTGCAATTCCGGAAATATAGTATTTTCGCCAGAAGAGCTGTCTAAAGTTTGTACCCCCTTGAAGTTAATTTCATTTATTATGTATTTATTCATATATGGAGAACTTTTTAAGTAAATTGAAGCATTTTTGCACACAATACTAAAATTCGCTGGCCCAAAAATAATTCTATGCAAATAAAAACTTTAAGTAAACATTTATAATTTTATTTAACAATTGTCGAAAAAAATTTTATTAGTAAGGTATACTTATTTTTACATCATTTAAAGAAACTTAATTTTATATGGAAAAATCCAAAATTTGAACGAAATCAGTCGAATAGTTCCCGATAAATAGAATTTTTAAAAAATTAAAAATTTTAAATTTGGGAGAGAACAATGTTCCAATGCAAAGGGTGAAGCGTTCATTTTTGTTTGTTTTTATTAGAACTATTTAACTGATGAAACTTATTATTGCATAATCATCTTTCAAAAGCGATCAAACAAAGCACAAAGGAAAATACGAAGTCATGAACGAATTTCAAACCAACTGTTGTAAGAAAACATACTCTGTGCTGACATGTTGATTTTCGTTAAATATTTGAAGCAGATGTTCAGTAAGAATGACAAATTTGAGGTGGCTGCTTTCAAATTCCGTTAAAATTCGACTTAATTGGTTTTTTACGTTGCTGATAATGTGCCCGATTGGAATTTTTGCATGCCCACCTTATAATATATTTGAGTCCTTCAGAATAATTTTCGATTTCTCTTATTTTGGGCTTATTAAGTAATATTTAACGTAAGCAATATATTTTAAGTAATATTAATTTAAAAATACTCTAATCACTCAGCTTAAGACCTAACTCCGGCTATCACAATGCGTTTTGTTTTTAAATAAATAAAGACTTTATCTTTGACGTTTTAAAAATGTTTTCTCAAATCAATAATGCATCGTTAATTCAGAATATTAGAAGTAAATATATCTCTATATATAGCTAAGTTCTAGAAATTAGCAAACCTAATAACTAGTTTTTTATTCTAACGTAATAAATCCCATTTTTGTTTAGAAAATAGCACATGGAAGAAATAAGAGACTACTCATTCTAAAATTTCATATTAAATTTTAGAGTCACGTTTCTTAAAGCAACAAGATGTTTGAAGACTATAAACACATCCTTGATATATTTTTTTTTGC